TCAGCAGAAAATCCGAGAGTTCGGCCAGGTGTCCCGCGAATTGCCCAGTTGAGCCGACACTGCTTGGGGCCCGCGGGTTTCCTATTTGTAATTAATGAAATGCTTTAAAAGACACCTGTGCGACCATCTCTGCTGCACAGGTGGCAAACCCGACTATGTGTACAGGTGCGCGCGGCGCAGGTACGCCGCGCCGGCCACTCTGAATCGGGAACTCGCACCGGTGCACGGTGAAACCCCGTCGCAAGCGACGACCGACGACCGTTTTGGTGATTACACGCCATCGGTGGCCTGGACTTTATCGTTCGTTAAAGATTGCACGCATTCGAACAGTGTTCCAGAAACCGCCTGGCGAGCCTTCGATCACGGGGATCCATCGCAAAACGTGGATTTTGGATGGGACGAGTTGCGGTTGATCTGTAATCGTTGGTTCATTGAGATTGATATTTTAATTGTCGAAGGAATTTAGAGTTTGAATATTTTTATTTCCTTTAGTTTCGTATTATCACATTGTTGACCGGTCATGAGTTAACACATGTTTGTAATTGCATTAGTTATTTCGATGTTTGAAACGCAGCGCAAATGGAATATTGTAGAAGCCAAATATTCAAAGTTATTCTATGTCCAAAGTTTCATTTTAATTCATTAGGTTTAAATAAAGTATATTGAAATTTATTTTGATTGTTTCTCTTTCATATTTAATTACGGAACAATAGCCGGTTACATGGGAGAGCTTCTGCATAAAATTTCAGGTCAACAATGTGTTAATAATGTAACAATGTTAATAATTGTTAGATCTAGCATTTTTTATTTATGGAAGGAATAATGTATAAGCGTCTGTAACAGAATAGTTCATTTTACCATATTAATTCACATATTCTTTGATATGTCTACATGAAATTAAAAATTTTAGATCTCTTTGGCAAGTCTGACATGATGTTGTATGGCAAGGGGTTAATAATGTTAAAAATGCACACGTAATGGAGATGTGTGTGCAGTCAATGTTTTCATCAAGAATCAATAAAACAGATAATGAATGAACGAATAAAGATAAAAAGAAACGTTAATTAGTTAACTCGCACTATTTCAGAATTCCTAGTTTGAATAGCAAACCACAAAAACCAAAACCCACCATTTCGACTGGTTTGATTTCATTTTGCATGAATGATGATGAAAAGGAAGATTGATTGGTTTACCTGCACTGTTCTACAATTCCCAGCTTCAATTGCGAAATAAGAAACCTGAAACCCGTCATTTTGACGGGTGCTATTGTCCCAGCGTTAGACGTCAGTACCACGTCAATGAATTCGGATAATAGAGATTATCCATTAAACTTTATCTCGAGCGTGATTCGCTGTGAACGCTCGACCCTTCCCGACCCGTCCTGTTCCACGTGCATCGAATCAATGATACCCGACGTTGTTTTTCTCGCAGCAGCGGTTGCGTCGCGTCGCTTTAACAGGTCGTATTTCAGGACACGGAACAGGATGTCCTTCGAGCGCAATCAGCCGCAATGAGAACCGGGCGTGCGAACTTTACTCTCTTTTCACGAGTTTCTGGCAAACGAAAGGCAGGTGTCGGTCGTCAACTCTTTTTATAGCTTCGGCCGTCGTCGAAGATCACGCTCTGTAGGCCCGGAGAAGTTTCTTTCATTCTTTCGAAAAGTTTTCGGCGCTACCCGTGCGGTTGGTGCTAGTGAAACACGACGGGTTGGCCCGTTGCGGACCGAGGACGTGACTCAACGCTGCTTTTACAGCCGGTTGCTCATTTCGGCCGGTGAAACGGGTCGTCCTTCGGTGAGGTCAGCTCCCGAGAAGAAAGACACCTCTGCTTTATGTAGCGTTGGAAACAATGTGTAAGGTATCCATAGCGCGTCGGCAGATATCGGTCGATCCTTGGAACGACGGCATAATGGCATTGTCATGCAAAAACAAATTTGCCGGCCGGCTACTCGGTGAAAACAAGGAATTCCTGTTTACGACGAGACAGCCGGGCTCGGTGCGTTTGAATCGGTCAGGTGCATCGATAAGTCGAATTCTCTCGGGTGTACCTGGACACCGATTCAATTACCATCGGTCTGTTGTAAATTATTTATAGCTCGGTTTCAGTTTTCTCATTTCACAATTATTGATGTCTTAAGTGTTGAATGTCCCGAATGATTTTAGAATACCTCCTTAAATATTATAGTGAATCTTTGGAGGATTTGGGAATGATCTATTGTTACAATTTTTATAGGGATTACGTATCAATCGCATATTAAATGCTAAAAATAAATGTAGTTTTACTAGGATACTGAAATGAATAGCTGTACGAAGAAAGTGAAAAATATTTGTAGGTCCGAATCTCTTTTAATATAATGATTCCAACGAAACGTGTAAGTAATTGTGTGAATTATTAAAATCTAGAGAGTTTGTTTGTTGGAAAATTTATACAGTTTAACAGTGAAAAACCGAAGGTGTACGTCAGGTATAAATTACTGGGCCGACGATTCTAAATACAGCATCCTACTTTATGTCCACAGAGATGTTCGTTCTTAATATTTTTATAAAACTTATATTAAGTATGAAATACTGTCATTAAAATATCCGTGTTATTCATTATATGTATGAATAATACGTACCTACAGTTCGTATTTATTACACACCTCAGAGTGAAAAATAACAAATCAGCGCAGAGTATAACGCAAATTACGTTACTGCAAAAGCAAAGAAAATTTCATCATTTCAGTTTTAAGAAACATGAAAATATACTGGCTTTTGGTTTCCATCGTCTAAAAGCATTCGTTTCTTTGATGTACATCAGGCAATATTAGGTAGCGACTTAAGCCACCGAGGAATTTCAACTGGCCGAAACTCGGGTCGTTCTTAAAGCGTAGGAGAATCCAGTATTTCCTTTGCATTCCTTTTCTTCGGCTCACGCACAGGTCATGACGAGTTCAGACGTGTCCCGGCTCGTAACTACCCACATAGTCACCCAACATCTTCGATCGTCTCACCTTTCGAATTTTTCTCGATTTATTCCAACTACAACTATTAACCCTTTGTCCTATGATTTCTTTTACAACTGTGCTCGATAAAACTATTTTATCATTAGTTATTTAGTAGAAAAAAAAGAATCTGATATTTTATCTTTACATTTACGATTAGTAATAGAAATATAATAAGTTAATATGAAAAATAAATAAGTAACGTTTAGATTTGTGGAATTCGGTTGAAAATTTTCATCGAGTTTGACTCAATACTGTAGAAATTGCGTAATGTTCATGACCCAGTAATTTATTAGTTATAAATGAGGTCAAATTCAAAAATATTAGGTTATGGTGTGTGGCATACTTGAATCTTTAATATCATTTAATACTAGGTTGATATACTTCATAAATGTTTAAACAAAAATGTAAATACATTTATATAATTATTATAAAAATAACATAATTTTTCAAAATATCATCACGAATTTAATTTTACGCCTTGAAGATATTTTTAGCTATTTTTTTTCGTTGTTGGTTAATATTATTTAATGTCGATAATTATTTATTTTAGTTATATAATAATTACATACTCAATTACAAATTCAATTAAATAAAGTTTATTCACCTAATAAAAGGAAATTGCAAATTTTGTATATCTTATGCACTCCTTAGAAATGATTTAGTTAGTAAAAAGTAAATAGGCCACTCATTAATACATGTTTATTTCATATATTTTCAAAATTTATTTATTAAATATATAATGATGTTGTTATAAATAATTCTATATTCTTTAAATACAGTAACAGAAATAATACACATCAGATAATTCATTGAACTGTGTCGTAAAGATGACATTAACTATAACTACAATTATTTTCGAATTACTTTTTTTCATTAAAATTACCCTGCACATAATATTATTCCTTTGCACTCGGAAGTCCTCGCAGAGAGGACATTTTAAATGTAATATTAAAATGTTCAAGAGCAAAAGGTTAATTAATGTGTTATGGAGTTTATTTTTGAACCACAGCAAAGATTTATGAATACGAGTGTACTTAAAGACTTCGGCCAATTTTTATCTCAACATCTGTTTCAATTCATTTCGAGTAATCTTGAAACATAATACCATACACAAGTGATGACCAATCTCATTAATTCTCATTTGTGAAAGTATTACCACGTACATACGTAGATCATTGGAGTCAAAATCTCAGGTGTACCAGCCTTAAAGTCTGCATCGATCATTTTAAGGGAACACTCGATTTTTCTGAGCATCTAGCATACTATACACGACTCCTTACATACACGCATATATAATTAACTCTACAATGTCCAATAAAGTCTTCCTTTCCAATTATTCAGAAGATATAGACGTTTAAAAAAAACTATTAAATAAATTCCATCGCAATTGTAATATACAATAAGTGAATGTTAATTTCAATAAATGCACTTGCACAATTTATACAAGAAAATGTAAGTGAATATCACTATTCAATAGTCCTAGTGTTAACAAAACAAAAAAAAATACAAAATCATACTGAGTCACTAAGATACGCGGCGCGTCACAGATAAGATACCAAAGTTGGTCATTCAATACCATCCTCAAAAGAAAAATCCTGTCCCATCTCGGATTGGTAGGTACAGGATTTGACAACAGTTTCGATGTTGGTTCCGGTTTTTGAAACAGTATGAAGTACCGAAATAAAGTCATAACTGTTATTGGGTGTATCCGTTCTGAGCTACATCCCTTTTGGTTCCGGTTCTTCAGGATCGGTATTACCGATTTTGTATCGGTTCTACAACTGTTATTTTTAGGTTCTAAAAGAAAAACAGAAGCAAAAAATAACAGTCATAAATATAATATCAGTTCCGAAGAACTGGTACCAGAACTGCAACCGATATACTCAGAACCGATGTACCTAATAACAGTTATGACTCTATTTCGGTTGTTGGATGACCAACCTACGTTATCTGCGAATGACTCACGGTTTTCGGGCATCTGCAAAGCTACCTCCAGACCTTGAGTCAGAACGATCAGGATTCATCTCTAAGGATTTTAGAAAAAATTCGTTTCAGAATTTTGATTTCAAAATGGGATTTTAAAAAATATTTATCACACTTTTTCTCGCCTTTTTCCTTCCATACTTTACTATATAAGTACCATATTCACTACAGGTGTGAAGAACCAGGTATTCCACTTCCAAAGGTGTCATCCCCGCTACTTCCTCAGTTCTTGTTCCATCTTCTCTAGTAATAGTTACATACCTACGCATTCGACCTTAATATTGAAATACATACACAATTAGTACCTTATAAAGTCTCCTTATAAATTCTCCAAAACAGTCTCAATCAAAACAACACTCAACAGTTGCAATTATTTCCGGACCCCCATCCCAGTGACATCCATCCATACGCAAATAGCGCATCCGAACTAAATTTTCATGAAAAAAGTAAATCTGGTCTGGCCGCACGGTAGGCGTGAGGAGCGAGTGTCTCGTTTCGCAGGCGGTCCCCGTACGCACTACCTGTTGCGAGCGAGCGAGCGAGCAAGCGGTGCGCGGCAGCAGGGATGAGACGGGCCGATATCAGGGGGCAGATGGAGAACGGGTGGACGAGAGAAAGAAAAAAGCCTTGGAGGGGGAAGGGAAG